CTAAAATGAGTTGGACTCTAGTTTCGAAGCATGCTGAATTTGATCAAGTAGGTTGTAGGTTAAACCTTTATATTAAGTAGGAACAGCTAGCTTCAGGGGTGCCTTCGCACTTTAGAAACTTTTGACTCACTTTTGTATTACAGATCAGTTGTACAGTGGGATTAACACCACAAGATTGGGAAATCTGTCCAATGAGGAGAAAGCCCGAAGACTGGAAAATGATATCCGAGAAATGGCAGCTTTGGATCGACCAAAGTGGCCGATGTGGGAGAGTGGTCAGTCAGTTCACCTTCTTTTTTGCTTTTTTTGCTTGCATTGCTCACACATGTGAAAACTTTATTTTATACAGTTGTCGTACCTGACCGAAATCAATGAAATGAGTTAAGTAATATTTCCATACAGCACGATCGATTCGGAAGCGCCATGTCTCGGAGGGCGCAGGAGCAACAAGGAACACGACTGCGCATCATTCCGAAGGTGGTGAGCATGAGGAACGCGTTAATGGTGTCCTGTACGAAACCTTCCACCCGATCGCATTCACTTCATTTGTGTCCCGAGGTGGAGCAATGGAGGTGGCCACACTATCTCCACAAGCCTTCATTGCTGAAATCGCTCACCCGGAAGCGCTTGTGGTACGTTATTATGAAGCAATTTTTCTGAAGTTACAATCGTTGTGTTGCGCTACGTGGAAATGCAGACTGCTGCTCTCTGCATCCCGATGAGATTGCTTCCATATTACAGTATTGCAACAAAACTGTGTCAGCATGGTGATCCGTTCTGGCTGGTAAGATACCAGCAATGGTTCATAGGTCAGCTCAGTGACTTGAATTGAGGTAGAAATCTTGAGGTGTTCGAAGGAAAGTCCTCCGGGTCGCCATGGTCATTCGCGACAATATGTATACTCACGTATGCGTCTCGGTACGCTGCTCGCGAATCTGTCCTCTAAATTTGCTAAAGCTATGGTGCTAGAGAAATTAGGAGGGTGATTCGGACGGACGGTTGGACGTGCAGGAGTAGCACGAAGGTTCGAATGCTTGATGCGCGTGTTGCTTTTGCATTTGTCTTAAAACATTTTTTAAACGTTTGCAAAACAGTTTTGCTTGTCACTTTAACTGTTCTCAACCTCTAGTGATCTTTTTCTGAGCTAGTTTTCGGGAGAAACTTCTACTGTGACTTATACAGCAGTGGTTTCGTTTGCACTACGGATCCGGAAGATATGCATATATCAATGTGACACTTCAGAAACACTTGTTGAGCATATGTGTTGAAAAACAGTACCGGACAGAGGTTCCAGATTCACCGTGATTTGAATCTATAAAACTAAGCCTTCTCTAAGCTCAGCAACGACTCTTTGTTGGAATATCTTAAACGATCTGGCGAATGTTGGCCATTTAAGCCTTAAGCTTTGATAACTCCAGCTAGAAGATCCCAATAGTGCGAGTCTCAGGAAATCTACCGGTCGTAGTGGATATCCCGAGTCGATGTCGTTGTAATCGTAAGTGATTGGTCCACAATTTACAATCGCTTCGCATTCCTTTGCTGATGTAGAGAATTCTTCCAGTTCCACTTTGGTGTTCCTGATAGCAGCTTTAAAAGTGACCTCGAAAAACTTGATCATACGTTCGTACACACGACCTTGCCAAGGCACGAGAGCTGGTATGAATTTGAATTTAATATGGTGGTGAGAGCAGTAACCAAATAGATTCTTGTCATCTTCGTCAGAAACCGGAGAAGGACGCTGACAACACGGAAAGGTGGGGCATTGTATCCGTTTCTACAGGAGGCATGAAGACGAAGAATATTCAAGAAACATGACGTGCTTAGACTGGTGGATATGTCGATGTATTATATATTGGAACAGTCAAACACGTGAACAAGGCTATCCAGATCTTAATTTCTTCGTTGCTGAATTAGTCGTAAATCCTCCTGCATAATCGACGCCACAATTGGTAAATGGATAAACGATTGCTTAACTCGCTGCAGAGGATAGTCGGAAAATGGAGAAAGGCGGAACGGTGTTGCTTTTTCTTTTCTGCAGTATAAACAAAGCTTGCTTATAAACTTTCCTTTAACCTCTGTTCAGCCTTTGGTGTCCACTTTGGTGTGTCGGTGTTGTCGAAGTGTGTAAGTGTGTATTAAACGCGCCAGTGTGGGGTTTTAATTGTGCAGGTGAAGAGCTGCTTCCCGTATACGCTCACTTGGTTTCGTAGATTATAATATTCATTGTTTTTGCCGGTTAATTCGGATCAAACGGACGCTTTGTTTACGTGTTGATGAAAGAGTTGTGGCATACGTACGTCATTGTAAGGTCGCTTATGTCGAAGTTAGAATCGTTTAATATCTAATTGCCTGTCGAAGACGTTATTGATTCGGCATCTTGTCATGCGTGTTGATCAATTTCCAATCTTTTAGAGGGGTTTATACATGGAAGGTGAACTTACAATTTCTAATGAAGACGCTGATGATAAAGCATAGAAGGGAAGACAAAACATAATTCATGGTGTTTATTCAATCTCTAATATAATGATTCATGAGGAATTGGAAAATATATAATTATTGAATTTCCTGATTCCTCCGATAAATGTCAGTTTATGTCTATCTCCACTGATGTTTACAACTTATGCTTCTACAAGCGGAAGTAAGTACGGCATTCTACAAAAAAGTACCTACATGACTCGTTCACAAGATCTGTTAGCACACATGAAAATCATGTTTGAGCTCCCATATAAAGCACAAATCGGCATGATTCCTTATTCAGTCAATCGCGCTTCACCTAACACCTACTTTTTAAGCATGTATGCTATGGCGAAGTTCTTACAGGGTGAATATCGCTTGAGGATTCCTCAACGGCACGTCGAGGATTCTCTGCCCGGTCAGACACGATCTCTCGCGCGGACATTCACACTCGCCATGCCGTGCCGTCTGTGCTCTCCGCGCGGATGTTCACTCTCGGCACTACTCTCGCATGGTAGAGAGCTATGGTCGAGGAAATCCTCGACCGTTATTCACCCTGCTCGGTACCGCTGTTGCCGCGCCTCTGTAATTGTTCCTCCTGACTCAATCCTCATCTCGACATTATTAGGTTTAGCACGTTATCCGCCGTTCTTTTCAGGCTCATGTCCCTTTGACTTCTTGCTATTATTTTTGAAGATTATGATGTAGTGCAAAAGCGCCCAACATCTTGTACATTATTATCTGTTGGGTTTGAACGTAATATCGTAGCGCTTGCATTTTTCATTTCTTCACACAAACATTTGAAGCAAAAAATAAAAACATAAAACTAATCAGTGATGTTCACTTCGTCATTATTTACAACTTTGATTGCATTTCGCAGGAGATCACCGGATATAGAATTTCAAAAAAAAATGTTGAGTTCTATTATTCTCAATTTGTACGGAAGGAATATGGTTTCAATTTGGCGAAAAAGGTAGTCATTTAGAGCAAGGTTCGATTAGAACAACAAATTCAAGGAAACTTCCAAGTTTTCGTTTTTCTTTATTCAAATCGAGGAATAGCAGCTATTGAAAGGCGATTTCCGCCGTCTGGTTTTTCCAACTTCTAAGCTACGCTACGATATTATGTGCCAACCCAGTACAACACTTTTGTATTTACTTTCTTATGGAGCACTATGGTTACACACTAGCAAAAAAGATTGCCCCTGCTACATGAGTGCAAGTTGAGCTCGAAACCGAATGCTTCTGCATCTGCTCGTAGAATCAATGAAGCCTGGGATGAAGGCACGGTTGCAGAGAGGACTGTTCGAGAGCGTTTGTTGATTACGCATTTATTGTTGTTTTTGTTTGGTTTTGTTAATAAACTTATGAGTGAAATGAAAACGGTGGATAATTTTGCTCAACCTAATACCTAATATGTACATCCCACATTGATGCCGCTCAAAGCGGGTGCTACCACTTGCTCAATGCAGAACCCTTTCAAATCTGGCCTCCAGATATGGATAGGATTTTTCCAACGAGCAACGTTGCAGGGTCTCCTTTTACAGTGGGTAGAAAATCTAGGACTGCATGCTAACATATTTTCCATAAAGTAGCTTTCCGCCCCTCAATGAAGCAATACCAATTTTGCAAAATATGCCTTCCAAACACATCTTATTGTTCTAACGCTGTGATGTACTCCCAATTTTTTGAGACCTCATATGAAAGTTAATCGCTGTCATACTAGTAATATCATCATACTGTTTAGCTGCAAACCTTGTCGCCTCGAGCATTCATCGCATCCGTTCTGTCTCCAAACGCATTAATCGCGCGTATCCTGTCACCGACGGCGTTAAGAGCCGAAGTTTTATCGCCGAGAGCTCTGCATACGTGGGTACTCAGTCCAGAAGCGTTAGTGAGTGTTTTTTTTGCTTTTTCTCTCTGAATGGAATGTTCAAGATTTCTGAAAGAAGCATTCCAGGTGGCAGAAGTGCTATCGCCTCGATTTTTCGATCCACGTGTTCTATCCCCAGAAGCGCTAGTCATTGACGTGCTGAGTCCAGGTCAGCAATATTCCCTTCCACATTTAGCTGCTCTTTGCTTGGCATGCTCAGGCATGCTCACCTGAAAAATTCTTATCCAGCGCCTAGGGTTCGTATTCGGATTGATGGGCTGTCTTTTGCATCCGCTCTCGCTACGCTACGGCTCCGGTAGAGGAAATAACCGTTCGCCGATCAAACTTCAACGCGAAATCCTAAACGTGACTTTTTGGGAAGGGGTTTGCATTAGATGAGACATTGTAGTATTTCTGGGAAAGAATTTCTTCATTTAAAGGGATATGTTTTGCTTCCTCAGCAGTTATACACAAGCGGTTGAGTGGAAGCAGTAGAAGAACGACATTTTGTTCCTACATTCAAAACGGAATCGTCATCGTTATCGGGATAAGTGCATGTGCGTAGGCTAGATACATCTTTGATTCCGGAACGCAACTCCAAAACAAAATTAAGTAATTAGTATAAAGTGAATAGTATTAGTAACAGGTAAATAGTCGGCAAGTGGCGTCGGCAGTGAAAAAAGGAGTCTGGAAAGGGATGCACGGAGGTAGAGGAGATAGGAACGAGGAACGCTGAGGGAGAGAGGGTTCTGGACCTGGCTACAGCCCACGATCTGGCAATCTGCAGCACGTTCTTCGCGAAAAGGGAGACTCAGAAGGTAACCTACAGCAGTGGAGGGAGACAGACGGAAATCGACCATGTGCTGGTAAGAAGATCATCCCTCAAAACTGTGAAGGATATCAAGGTACTCCCTGGCTGGCTCCCAGCACAGGCCCCTCCTGGCAGACATTGCCATAGACCTCCCCAAGAAGACAAGGGTAAGAACCGAGAGGAGAATCCGGTGGTGGAAGCTGCACCAAGCGGAGAAGAGTGACCTCAAGCGAAGGATAATGGAAGTTGGTCTCCCAGATCCTAACGGGCCAGTACAGCGGACTTGGGGCAACGCGGCTGAGACCATCCTGCGATGTGCCAAGGAGGTACTGGGCGAGACGCGAGGTGGATTCAGAGGAGACAAGGCAGCGTGGTTCTGGAACGAGGAGGTCCAGCGAGTCGTGAAGCAGAAGAAGGAAGCATACAAGCGCTGGCAGAAGACCCGGAGCCCGAAGACCTCGCTGCCTACAAGAGTTGCAAGAGGCTCGCTAAGGCTGCCGTAGCCAAGGCAAAGAACACGGAGATGGACGCCTTGTACGAGAAGTTGGAAAGCAGAAACGCAGAGAAGTTCGTCTTCAGACTGGCCAAAGCCCGGCATCGGGCTACTCAAGATATCAGGGTGGTGAAGAGCGTGAAGAGCAGCAACGGCGCCATCCTGAGGAAGCCAGCCGAAGTCGGAGGAGGTGGGAAGAGTACTTCAGGGGCTTCTGAACGAGGAGTTCCCCACAAGAACAACTCACGGGCAGAGGCCACAGCTGGTCCCATCGCACTCTGGACAGAGGATGAGGTTCGGTGTGCACTTGGGAAGATGAAGGTTGGAAAGGCAGTTGGTCCGGATGGAGTACCCATAGAGGCTTGGAGAGCACGGGGTAAGGTGGCTCACCCGCTTCCTGAACACGGTAACTGCCGAAGGAAGGATGCCGGATGCCTGGAGAACTATCGTCCCCATCTTCAAGCAGAAGGGTGACGCGATGGACTGCTCCAACTACCGCGGTATCAAGTTGACTGCGCATACCATGAAGCTGTAGCAGCGAAGCTGTGGAAGCTGGTCCCTGTATCCCAAAAGTCCATGCCTGGAGGACCCACAACGGATGCCATCTTCATCGCTAGGCAAGTGATGGAGAAGTATCGAGAAAAGCGACCCTGCTACCTAGCCTTCCTCGACCTGGAGAAGGCGTTCGACCGGCTACCGCGAGCAGTGCTATGGAGGTCGCTTAGGGAACGGAACGTGCCAGAACACCTGATCTCTCTGGTGAAGGATATGTACGAAGGAGCCAAAGGCAGCTATACGCACCCCATCACGGCCTAACGAAGGAGGTGGACATCACGGTTGGGGTGCACCAAGGGTCAGCTCTGAGCCCGTTCCTCTTCCTCCTAACACTAGATGTCCTGGTGAAGGGGCTCATGGAAGGGACCACTGAAGACCATCCTCTACGCTGACGACATCGCCCTGATAGCGGATAGCAGAGAAGAACTTCAAGCCAAGGTGCAGAAATGGCAGAAAGTCCTGGCAGAAGGTGGGCTCCGGCTGAATGTCAAGAAGACCAAGTTCCTGAGCTCTGAAGAGGGTGCAGAGCCGATCGTGGACGGACATGGGAAAGCATCGAAAGGGTGGAAGACTTCCGATCAGGGTCAACCGTCACGTTCGAACATTTTCGGGATTTTTGCGACCCCCTAGCTCTCGAGGGGGTCCAGTTGCGACCCCCTGTTTTTGTTAATAAGAGTGCTAGACATGAATCCGTTGCGCCAGAAAGCGTCTGCGCGTCGTCGCGTCGGCCTTGGAGCGCGGCAGGTATCACCCGGGCGCTGGAAGAACGGGACGCGGCGAAGAAAAAATTTTAGAGGGGAATAACTTTCTTGGGACGTATTTTTTGACTTGTTGAGGTAGATTTTGATTGTGCCTGAGGTGCGCTTTCAGAAAACTACAAGGATTGCCTAACTCTCCGGAAAGTACTTCTGTTAGAAGTGGAAAACCCAAAATTCTAAGAAGGCGCACCTTCAACTTTGAAGGCCCATAAAATCTTTCGTATGCGACATTTTGGAAATCTGTAAAAAGTTTCAGAAACTTCAAATATTTCTCTAACAAAACAGTATAAAAAGTTTAGTGATTGTCCCCTTTTTCAAAAAATTGTCCCGTTCGAACATTTTTCGTGCAAAAGCGAGTTTTTGGGCTTTCAGCGACCATAACTCACTTCATTTTCATTTCTGTGATGCACTTTTTTCATGGGGTGAAAGTACAGGATTTGCTCTTTCTAACAAGCACCAAACCGTTTTTCAAAATCCATTTTCCGAGAAAATCACACGTTCGAACATTTTGTTCCCATAGGTTTTTGAGCAGCACATGCGAGTTTTTGAGCTTTCAGCAATAATAACTTCCTTCAAAGAACTTGTTGGGGAGGGGCGAAGACATTTTTGAAGACTACGAGATTTCTGCTTTCTTATGTGTTTTACCGTTGTCTGGAAGAATCGTCCTCAGAAAATTAGGTCCCGAAGAACTTTAATTTCAGCCCCGAGAAGTCAAACCTTTCATAGGGATGCATTCAACTGTTCTTATTCCTCAAGGAAAACACCGTAATTTGCCTAAAACTGTCTCTCTGTGCATAATTAATCGAATCTAATGCGGTCTGCACAAACAATTCTTGCCCTCGGATACGCCACGCACGCGCCTGTGGCTGGCAGTCCTCGAAATTGCGACCCCCTTCCGACCAAAATGCGACCCCTTCGTTCGAACAGTTCGAACGGACGGTTGACCCTGCTTCCAATACCTTGGGAGCGATCTGCGCGACATAAGTGTGGATCAGGCAGTGAAGGCACGGATCAACGCGGCATGGATGAAATGGAGGGAGTCCACTGGAATCCTCTGCGATCGAAGGTGCTCCAGAACGCTCAAAGGGAAGGTGTACCGGACAGTGGTAAGGCCTGCGATGCTATACGGCAGCGAGTGCTGGCCCCTGAACAAGAATCACGAAAGGCAGCTTCACTCCGCTGAGATGAGGATGCTGAGATGGGCCTGCGGCTGGACGCGGCTGGACAGGGTCAGAAACGAGGATGTCAGAGCGGTCATGCAGACTGCCCCTGTCCAGCTGAAGGTGCGAGAGCAGCTCCTTTGTGCTATGGAGGCCACAGATTTAACCGATGAAGAATCGATGAACTTTGGGCACAAGGCAAGCGTCCTCGGGTGCGCCTAGGAAGAACTGAAGAGACGTTATCAAGAAGGACCTAGATGAAGTCATGGCCACAGCAAAAGATGCCCTGGGCAGATTGAAGGAATCACTCTTGGAAAAATCTTGCATTCTTTCCCAACACGCATATGTCAGTTGTGATCACTAGAAACAACATACAAAGTTTCACGCACAAAGATTCAGTTTCCGAAGAGAAACAAACTTACAAACACTCTATGGACAATCGAAGGTAAGTGGCGCGGAGCCAAAGGCGGGCATGGAAAGAAGTCCGCCTTGGGGCGGCTACGTATCAGGCGACGCAATGAAAGAATCGGGTTAAAGCGTGCGATTTTGGAGAGTAGAGACAAATCGATCGATAGAATAGGATGCAGTAGAAGTGAGATGTGAATGCAATAAGTCAAAAGGCCAGAAAGAGTTTCTAGTGACGGCACTAGAACCAAGTGGAAGCATTCCCGTCGCCAGCATTTGTGACAGATGTCCGGCGGTACTTTGAACGCGTAGCAGCCCTTTCGATTTTTCGAATTTTTTACCAAAACAAATGCAATTTTTTTCTTTTCGTTCTTATCGTGAACGATGGGTCTCAAGCCAGTGAATTATAGTGAGATAGAATCACGATTTTTCCGGGAATGGTTTTTTGAAGTGGCGACGACTGACAAAGACAGCGGACCCTGGAATGCGCGGCACTAATGATAAGGAGAAGAAGAATGGCTAAATAAATAAATAACATGGAGTACAATGAAAAAATATAATTAAGACAAAACAGACAGTAAAATGCAAAATATTCTTCTCACTTTGCTGTATTCACACAGAGTACTTCCAACTGAAAATCAACGAGCGTATTCTACTTTATGAGAAAACTTTGAAACAGTCTCCTACAGCCTACGATAATAGAATCTGCCACGCTCGTGGTGCACGGGTCGGGCTCCGCGGGGTCCTTGACGAATCTTCCACCATTTGGACGTTTTCTGAAGCTCAGCTTGGGAAAGGACTTGCGTAGTTATTATGCCAGTTGGTAGCTAACCGCCAGTGAATAGATTCGGGAATTATGTAACGGCTTCAAGCTGGAGCGATTACGGTGGCCTCCTTGAGCTCGACGGCGATGACAGATGACGTCATATTCTGAAGACGGTGGGGGCAGTGAAGGAGGGCCTGCTCTTAATGAAATACATTTCAGAATATTTCGCTGTGAGACTTTTTTGTCAACGCTGGCAATCTGGGCGGTGGAGAAATCGCAGATGTGCGACATGGGCGAAATGTCTTTCTTGCGCCTCTCCCCCTGGATACCCTGTCCACAATGATTATGATATTTCGTGTTGAGAAATTCACCTATCTCATCTGCTTACACTCACTCTGAGACTCAGCTGACGCCTTCGTAGCCCAATTATGCTTCCTCTACAAAACAGTCCCAGCAGTAGAGCATCACAGATTGCTTCGACTGGATAGTCGACGATAATTTCATCACGTTTCAGTTATTGTGTGCTATTCTTCCAAAGCGAAAACATGTTTCTGCCAATCGATACTCCACATGCAGAAATGAAATTATTTCAGGTTTTCTGTCACCGCACGTGCTTTCTTCGGAATCGATAGGCCTAATCATCTTGAGCCCCAACATACTTTCACCTCGTGTCGCTAGTACAGAGAAGCTTCTTGTAGAGGTAACCATAATCAAATCCGATTTAGTAAACTTGACCGAATCTCGAGAGATGAGTGTAGATTACTAATTTGCACCGTTCAAGATTAGTTGGGTACATAGTTTTGTTGAGCGGAGCTTCAGGCAGTCTAAAGAGGCATACACTTTGGAGGAGTTCGATTTGAAGAGATTTTTGAGGCGAGATTGGAAAATTGGAGAACGAAATAAGATGATGTAAAATAATATTTGCAATAATTCGTTTCACTTAAACTCGGGTGTCCCCAAGAGGCCCATCGCGCGGCGAAGGAAGAGACGCAGATGCGGCAAAGGACGAGTCGCAGCGCGTGCTGTGCGATATGAGACGTAGTATGGTACACTCTATTTAACCTGACGCCTAACCGCTACAGTATGCGCTGCGACTCGTCCTTTGCCGCGTCTGCGTCTCTTCCTTCGCCGCGCGATGGGCCTCTTGGGGGACACCCCTTAAACTCTGATGCCGACTCCGAAATAACTAAGAGAACCAAAATCCCTAAAGATAATTGAGAGCCGACACGCTGACAACGATTATCGCCAGCGCTTTACATACATTTACGTATTTAGCATATTTAGGGAAAAAACCTCGAGAAACGCGAGCCATTTCCTCATAGCGTCTCACCAAATGGATGCCATATTCGTGTTTAGGAAATTCAACCTCCCCCTTTCCATGCTCCTATGAGTTGCAGCGGATTAGGTAATGCAGTTCGGGGTCTGCGGGGCTTGCAGCGGTCGTTTGTTACAAAAGGGGACGATTTTAGTGCGCGCAGAAATATAGCATCAGCACTGTTTTCAAAAGATGAACTTCATGGCTTAATAGAGCCACATGCACTTCACTGTAGCACTTTTTTTCAAATATTGAAATATGCTGGTTACTATGCAAATGCCAGTGTAATCAAATCATTATTGCAGATTCTTTCGCCACACATTCTTGGAGGTCCCCACACACATGAGGAGGCCAGTCACGAGGTGACTGAAATCGGTTCAAAGAGCGCAGTCAGAGCGAGCAGTGAGCAAGAACATCAAGGACATGAAGCGATTCACCATGGCCACAGCTCTCATGAGCTCTCACGCTCACCTCAGAGAATCGCTGCAGAAACTTTGGCGCGGGTTTCATCCACATATGGGTCGTGGGCTGCACCATCACGTAGCCGGCCTGGTAAGCTGAGATAAGCTTGAATAGTCCCAGTCTCAATTTAGTTGAACAAAAGTGGGCGGAAATTTTCGACGCGTTGATTTGCGTTCCCAAGAAAATTCGTGGTGGGTGGAACCGCTGTGTAGAATCCACTAGTCCTCAGAGATCATTCGGTGTTCGCCTGACCTAAGCCAAATTCCATTTGAGTTAGATCATCATACAGAGACAAATGTCCGATTGTATTTTCAACTAGGACTGTGACGGACGTGTTTGTTGCTCCTACCCGTGCACCTGCCGTCAGAGTCAACCCTGCGTTGCGCAGTTCGCAACGGCACGTTGAGAGATCCTCAACGCACGCTGTATGGGCGGAGACACAGACGGCTCGAGCATGCGAGTGTGAATGTTCGCGCGAGAGAACGTGTCTAATCGGGCGAAACTGCGCAACGTGGCCGTTGAGAACTGCGCAACGCAGGGTTGACTCTGCTGCCGTATTTTGAGCGGTTTCATTTGCCACGACACCAGCTCCACACAGAGTTCAGCTATGAGTAGTTATTATTATGTACTGTTTCACAGCAGTGCTGGTTTATGAACAAAACTTTCGCCCCAGGACGGGACTAGAACCCGCACCTCGCTTTCCGGGCAAGTGCGCTACCAGTTACGCTACCGGGGCACCATTTCATTCCAACTCAGCTTTTCATGGTATACGTACCATAGCTTTCAGCACTCACACGTATAACGTGTTGAGCCGGTTAGCCGATATCGGCAATGACCGCGAGGCTGAAAGCTTTAGCAATTAATTTTGACTTGTTTTTGATTGTTTTGTTTACAACCCATCAATCTTGTGGAACAAGTGAATCTGTGGACAAAAACAGCAGTCAACAACCAAGATAAGTCACAATCAAACACTGTTTTTTTGGCGTTTGCCGTGTTGGTTTTGATTTTGTTCATGTTCATCACACCGATTCCACTGATGCTTTATTTACCGGTGTGTTCCAGTTGTTCTTACCATTATTTCGTGTTCTGGTGATCCATCCTTGACTTCAAGACTACATGTAAATCATCCATGACATTTTTCGTTGCGCTCATGACACTGTGATCCAGTGATCTGCTTTATATTTCTTGAGCAGAGGCTAGATCAGTATTTGTTCAGCCTTATTTTTGTACTCTAACAATGAAGATCTGGTATTAGAAATAGCCTCCACGATAAAGATTGTTTACATGTTGGTTGCTAAGCTTTATTTACTCTCTGCAGAAGGTCATCTATTAGCATCCATCTAAAGCGGGTCAACTCGCAAAATGAAGTGTTGCGATGTAAGAAAGGTGAAAAGGTTCTCTATGGCGACGCTTCAACGTAGAGGAACGTCTCCCTGAAATGTCAACTAGATCCATTGCTCTTGCCTTACTACTACTCGATTGAAATTCATTATTCCTCTGTCTAACACAGCATAATATATACCACTATGATCCACGGCACTTTTCCGTGTAATGAGAGGTTAGCGAGTGCCGGCTGCCTTCGGGACGGTCTGGCGGACGGGAGTAGACGCAGGGTCAACCGTCCGGTGGGCAAAGTCCAACGGGAGTCGTATTTGGCCGACGGGAGAAGGGGGTCGTATTCGCAAAGGTCAACGTCGCAATACGTAGATGAGAGGCATAACTTTCGAGTGCTTCTCCAACTATTAACCACAAACGAGTGCATGGCGCACCTCAGAGCAGAAGAGTCTACTGCAGAAGTGTCCATATTTGACTGTTCACGTACACAAATATGCTCTCGAGGTGAACCAATGCCTTCAAACTGGACCTAAGTTAGTAAAAGAGTGACCACTAGGGTAGATTGACTACTAAGGCTTACAAGAAAACTTGGAAAAAAATATTTCAACTGTCTACAACTTCTTGAAAAGGTTTCAGTATTCATCATGAAGCACAAAGCTTGTGCGATGTCATGTATCATTACTCCTCATAAAATTGAGTTTGAAGAGAGCTGTAAGTGTTTGAGTGTTGAAAACTCGTGTTTTCAGAGAGAGTTGCTCCGAAAATTCATGAAAAAATTGTCCAACGGGGCGATTTTTTGAAGAAAAGGGACGTTGCAAAAGTTTGAGTACTTTCAGAAAGGGAACAATCTGGTGTTAAAAACTTTTTTTTACCACTTCTCACCGTGCGCCACAGAGAGCGGGCGGAGCAAAACTGGTGCACTACATATACTCCTTATATGTACACTGATTCTCAATTCTGACCAATATCCCTCAACTTGATGGCATTTGTTTCTGTTTGTGTGAACAGCTGAAATTTAACGGTGGAGGTCGTTCAGGGCATTCAGGCCAAGTTTTTTCAAAGTGGTTCCTTGCATGA